GAAACACAAAACAATGCAGTTTAACTGGACTACAGCCAGATCTTATCAGTGTCATGATGACACCAATAGTTGAAAGAAGCCAGTCTTCAGATTGGAACAAGGTCGTGTTAGTCAGCTAATCATGTTCTTCCTCATTTAAGAACATTAAATGCTGCTTCTTACATAGGACTAAACTGTGTGAAGAAAAATTCTCTGCAGAGTAGCTCCACAGTTTATCTGGAGCCAAACCAACTGTACAGTGTACTGTACACTACACATAGAGCAAATAAGCTTTTAGCCTTATGATCTGTCAGTATCCTCTAAAATGTTTGTTCTACCTTAAAGTGGACCCGTCCAAGTGTAAAACTCTTTTCTACCTGAGGCTAAAAGAATGAAATACATAACCAGGTTCTCTTGAGGAATGAAATCTTAAGATAAAATTATTTTAGACGCCATCCTGATGGCTATCCATGGCTGTAACAAGAGACATTTAAAGTTAAAACCTCACCCTGTTCAGCCATGTTGGCCTGAACACAATCCATTTCTTAACACACATTCCTAAAATGTTTGAGCCTGATGAAGGGCAAACCTCTGAGACACTTGGAAAATTTGGGGGAAAAAATGACATTTTAGGAAGAAATCCGCAGTTGGCTTGTTTCTTCATGGTCACCAAAATAAATGCAAAACAAACTTGAGTAATCAGACTTATTGCTTAATATATAAACTTGAGGCTACAGTTTAATGTTGTTCACGTAACAATTTTGTCCTGTGTAATTCAGTCATGTGTATACGAAAATAGGTACTTTTCATAACTTCCAATTCTCAATTTCAAAATAAGAACCAACCTTGACCACATTGCATCTTGTAAAATGCAAATAAAACAACAAAGTCAAAGTGAATTTATTTTGAGAGGCTTCATAGTCAATGTGCCTCACACCTACCATTAGTCTATTGAAGGCACTATAGCTACAAGTGAACATTTGTTCTAAAGGAATGCAGAGTATGCAGGAGTTTGGGGGGGATGGGAGGGGGACAGCAGCTCGGCTGTGTGTAGAAGACTCCTTTTTCATACCGATTAAAACCATTAACTAAGCTGTCTTCTGCAACAGAATACACACTCAAATAAGAAAAATGTCCTGACATTTTTACTGCATGTCTCTTTTCAGGACTGGCACTGAAGTGCTGCGCAATTACTACACTTGTGCTATGACAATGAAATGCTTGTAACACTGCCATCAAGGGGAATTTAAACCTCTCTCTGTGTGCTTGGGTAAAAAGCAACAGAAATATTACTGTGGTTTGATGCCTCACTACACAGTTGGTTTTTCCTCTAAGTTTTTTTTTACAGGTTGTCCGCTCAAGCCATGCTGTTGTTTTCTCTTGTCTCTGCTACACTATATGTTGGCATACTGACATGTCAACACTTAGGTACTTACCATTTTGTAAAATTGAACCCAAAAAGGATGGTTTGAGAATCTGATCATAACCATTAACATAATTCTAAGGTATAATGCAGAGGGATAACATATAAGGTTCACTGATCAACTGTGTGCTGTTGGACCCTGGGAGTGGATGAAGATCATAGTGGGATAAAACAAGCATACGGATAGGGGTCACCTGCTCAGTCAAAACTCATACAGCCTCACATTCTTTGCTAGGATTACATTCTTTGACAGCTTGATTTTTGTTAGGCCACAATTCCTAAACACTGTGACTGAAGGCTCTGTTATGAGAGAAAGTGTAACTCTAAACCCCAGTCTGACCTTGGTGAATCTATAGGTGTGAAGCTGTGGGTGTGAATGCGAAGGGTCTATTTAAGTCAAGCTTACTGTCACCGAAGGATGTCCCCTGTGGGTTTCAGTCAACCAAACGTGCTGTGTGTAGGTGATGCCTCCAGCTAAAAACTGGTTGGAGCTCTAAGGAGAAAATTAAGCATCTTCTAAGCTAAATTCTCTAAAGTTTTCTGTGCATCAGAAGCTATGTGAGGGACATTGACTCAAATCTGCTTCACTGCAATGGGAATAAAAGCATGCGAGATCTCCACGGGGTACATGGCTTTCAGCAAAAAAATTAAAACAAAATAGTGTATCAGTTACACACAGCACTCTGGTGACAGACCTTTCCAAATATGAAAAGAATAACAGAAGAGTTGATATGTGCCTTGCTAACCTTCTCCCTAACTCCCTCACTACCTTATTTCTGCTGCTTCCTTCAACCACAGAGAGAGGCCTGTTGCTGTGAGGCTGTTTGCCTTTTCAAGCGAAAGACACAAAACACAAGCTGCTAATCAATGTTTGTTTGTTAGTGCATTATACATCACTGGTGTATTGTCTCTCTTGGCACTCTGGAGGGTATGACTGAATGAAGCCATGACAAACATTAATGGAAAAGTAACCCATGACTGAATGACAGAATGTCGATCCCAGCAATGTTGTGTGTGTCATGTCTCAAAAGGGCTACAAAGTGAGTCCTATGCACAATTTTTCTTGTTCGTCTATTAGACTTATACTAAAATAGAGACATACCCTACTTGAAATCAGTTTTACACGCTCTTTTGACTGTTATTTCGTCCAAAATGTGAAACCTCCCTGACAAAATCTGACAAAAAAAAAAAAACTAATTAAAAAAAAAAACAAAACATGGCATTTTCAATCCAAAAACAGATACACACACATGAAGGTGGACAAGATGCTGACATCCAGAGATAAGTTAGGATTAGCAAATCCCTATCATGGAGTCATGTAGAGCAAAATAACAAAAAACCAAAAAGCTTTTCTTTTCTATTAAGCAAAGCCTGGATGACATAAGCATTCAGACAATTCATATTTAACGTATAAATTTCATGTGTTGAACAGCAGTGTTTGAACATGGAGAGAAAAAAATGACCTGTCCATATACATTTTTTTTAAAAAAGGTAATAATTTTTAAAGGTGATAAACTATTTCAGCAATTGGCAGACAACTGCCAGGATTGCTGTTTGAGTAACAAACAATAGCTGAATTCATTAACAATACTAAGGATGTACACTACATGGGACTACTACAACGCATATTTTAAAAATACATTTTTCACATTTTGTTTCACTTTCTTTCTGTTAATGTTTGGTTTGGTGTTACTATGAGTTGCAAATCATAGCTCATTTACATCTAGAACTACTGACTAATATGTCTGATTTCTGTGACCATCTTCATCACTTTTTTATTAACAGTTTGCAATAAAAATGACTCATTGTTTACTTTTGAGTGAGCAAGAAAATCACACTTTGGTGTGCAAGCATCTTGCTTGTGTTACTCTGTCATTCTGAATGTGTCAGTGTCCAAGAAAAGAGCAGCAAAAAATAGTCCACTAATCCAAATGACATTATGGGGTCATACGCTATGATTTCATCCCACCTGCTGAATAAAGACCATTGTTAATAGGGAGGCAAATACCCCGGATGTTTTTGTGATGGCTCAGAGAAACACAGCACGACGCACGCCAAGGCTCTCTCACAGAGGCCTCACTCCTCCAGCTAGAGGAATGGCTTAACAACTTACTCCCACTGCCTGACCTACAGTAGGACCCCAGCCTGTGCGTATGTGTGTGTGTGTGTGTGTGTGTGTGTTTTCACAGTACTGCAGAAGCAGCAAAAGCTGACTGGCATATACTGTATTACTTCCACAGAAGAAAATCATACCAAAAAACAAAATCAGTTCTGGTGACAAGACAGAATATATTGCTAAGTGCTTGGATTAAACCATGATTAACCTGAGCATCTTTGAGCTTTTAAGTGTAGAGTATACAAAACATGCAATTTCATAATGTGACTTTGTGATCTAGGAACTGTTTCATCTTGCATTTTATACCATAATTGATTGATCAGTCAAATCAAATAAACCCTAAAAAAACACTAATCAAGCTACTGTCAGTGTTTACGCATTTGTGCGGGTAGAGTGTTCGACTGTGTCTGCAAGCAAGAGCTGAGCTTTCAAACCAAAGTGAGAAAAACAGAAAGTAAGTAGCCTGTTTCTGTGCTGGTGTTGCTTCCTCTTGTGTTTTTGTGTGTATGCAGTGGTGTGTGGGTGAGTGTAGTTGATGTTAAAACACAACACTACAGGCGCTCCATGTTAGTAATAAGTGAGGCTGTTATCACACTACAAACTGACACTCCACGGGTGGTTTTGGCTTTCTGTCTTGATGGCAGAGTTTCCTCCTTCCTGGATGTTTTCTTTAAAGCAGTTTACAGAACTATGTGCAACTACTTTTTATGGTATTTGCATTTGAATGCATTAAAGCAGAGGAGGGCCAGCATTGGTGTGATATACCAACAATGATTTAAATTCACATGTATACTGTGACACTGTTAAAAGAAATGGGGGGGGAAAAAAGCTGTAGGGGCGTTAACACATTGATATATGTTATTCCTTTTCAACAACTGGCCAAGCAAAGGCAACGTGACATCTTGCCAATACATGTATATCTACGATGGAATTTACTGGGAGAGAATTTCAGCCATCTATAGCATCGTTGGTAAACATCAGGTTTTAGTGTCTCAGTTCAGAGACCAAGGGTTTGTTCTTAGACAAGCGGTGAACACTCACACAAAAAGAAATCAATTCTAAAAAGACAGAAAAGTGTTCTTTACAGATAGATGTCTCTTTCGACCAGAAAGAAATCAATCTGATATTTAACAAAGGACGTATTCAATTGCGAAAAACCTTCTTGCTCTCATCATACTATGGATATCGCTCTCTCAATCCTCACGTACAGAAAACACATTCTCCACTGATGTCTGGGTTTATTGGAATTCACAACTGAAGGAGAAGTAGGCAAGAGGAAAGCACTCTGTACTCTAATAACCTTACACACAGCACTATGACGCAAATTACCCCAAGAATGTAGTTTGCATCTGATATTAAAGATACAATATGTAACAAGAGTAGCCAAGGGTGCATTTTCTTTCTTCATCTGTCATTTTACGGTTCCCTGACCTCCACAGCCCTTGCACAAAGCCTCTGCATTCCATCTCTTCCTGAACTCACCTTTACACTGGAAAGCATTCTTGAGGTTGAGTAGCACATCAGCGAACCCCCGCACATCATTCACCAGCTGCATTACATACTCTGGGTCCACTCCTGGTGCCCCCATCAGGCGGGACGTAAGCCCCATGCTCCTCAGAGGGTTGGGGTTCTTAGAGCTACGGCCCATATCCCAGGTCTTGGTGGATCCAGCTGAGAGAGATTCTGTGAGGGGCTTCGAGCGGTGCTGTGAAAGTTCCTGGGCGTGCTTTGTCATACCACCACCACCACCATCGCTGCTGCTGTTCTTCCGTAGCATCCCAGCAGCCAGAGTAGCTGCCACCCTTAACAGGGGGTACAGCAGGCCAGCTAGCCCCTAAACTCCCCACGCTGCCCTGGTGCCTGGAAGGCTGAAAGACAGAGAATGATGGGTAAGAATTAAGTGTGTTGTGCATGTGAAGGTGGGGCTTCATTCTCCACCTTCATTAATATAGAGAATATACCATTTTTAAAGACCTCTTACAAATCTATAGTAGCCATTTAAACCTGTTTCTATTCTCCTAACTATGATTTTTTTAATGGAAATTTTCCACACTAATTGAATTTACAGTACACATAATGTTACAATTTATAGTTGTTTTGTCTCCCATTCAAGTCCTCAAATGTCTTAAAATTACGTCTATTGTGCCATAGTAAATTTTATCAAGTATTTTTACTTCGTTATACCTGTTGCACCGTTAAGCAATGTTTTTGCTATTAGCTAACTTGGCTAACGGTACGGTTTTTTTTAAATACCATTATATGTCAGTACATCCACACACTTTTCCAAAAAACAATCTAGTCCACGTTAAAAAGCCAAGACGACGTAAACTCACAGGAGGAACTAAAAAGCTCAGCACCAACGAAAACTACGCGACCATTAAATTTTTGGGACAGTTTACAATGAAAAGTGATGCTGCCTCCCCGGTAAAAACAGCCGACCCGGGTCACAAACTGCTTTTGGAGACACAGCCAAAATACGCTATTTAAACTCACCTGCTTGGCAGTTTACTGGCATACCGGCCACAGTGTCCAAAACAGACCTTTGCTTAGTGGAGGCAGTAAAAACCCCAAAACATTTCCGTTAGAAAAAAAAACTCCAACAAAGGCAGAAGGTTGTCAGCTTTGACTCACTGTACACCGAGAAGTAGCTGACTATCGGCAACCCTCAAGTCAATCGTAATTTACGAGTTGGTTTGTCACATGATGCTACAGACGCGTTTTGATTGGCTAGATGTTCTCACTGGTGATGCCTTCTAGTACTGCCGGACGGTTTCGAGACCGCAAATGTAACATCAAATCACCTCTTGCTTGTAACTGAATTAATTCAATATTAATTTGCCCAGATAAAACAATTTATCTTTATCGGATATGTGCAGAATTTAAGAGGGCACTTGTTTGGGGTTTTAACTCACTCCGTTGCCTAAGATATGCAACATTTATGAGACTTACGAGCACATTACAAGACTATGTCAGCAGAAGTTTGATCTACATTGTACGGACAACCCCTGAATGCGTCATGCAGGAACATCAGACGCAGTATTTAGGACCATACATTTGTGGTGTATTGCCCGAGTCGCGCAAAAATATAAAATTTTTCCATCTCTTTTTGTTTGTTTGTTTGCTTTTTTGTTGGTTTCAATTTATTGTCACGCAAATAGCATTGAAACGTACGCCAATGATAAACTGGAATAGATCTTAACTGTAATAGATCCTTTCTCAACCGTTTAACTACTTAAGAACCCAAAAGAAAGCCATTCCTTTTATCAAAAGACCATCGCCACCCCGGCATATGACTGTATTTGGTATTCTGGTTTACATTGCCCTGTTGCTTTTTCTTTTCCCGTTATCATGGAGTTTATCAAAGCTATATTATTTATTATTAATAATAATGGTGATGACTGTTCTGATACTGTTATTACCTGTATTTGACACATTGATTATATAATTTCTGTATAATTACTGGGTACCACATAGTGTCGATAGACAGATTGTGCAGAACATCCATCCATTCTTTGCCCTGGAGGGGCTGGAGCCTATCCAAGCTGACTTAGGGTGGAGACAGGGGACGCCCTGGACAGGTTACCAGTCTATCACAGGGCTATATTTAGAGACAGACAAAAATTTAGAATCACCAGTTAACCACAGAATGTCTTTGGACTGCGTGAGGAAGTCAGAGAACCCGCTGAGAACACACGCTACACAGGGAAAACAAACTCCACACAGAAAGAGCTTAGGCCAAGAATCAAGCCCAGGACCTTCTGGCTGTGAGGCGACAGTGCTAACCACTACTTCACCATGCCGCCCCGAATACAACATAGAGTTGTTTTTAATTATCTTATTTGATTTTTCAAATTTAGTGTTGTTTTTTAACTACACCATCTTTGATGTGTTGGAAATATTAACTTGATTTCAATGCCAATAAAGCATACTGATCTGAAGCAAATTGAATTGAACTGACAATAATCTGAGTTAGATGCACTTGTGTTTCTGCTCTGCAAAAAAAAAATAAAGCAATTGTAATGGTTGTGGTGCAGATCTCACAACAAAATATCACTACTAATTGCATTACATGGAATCAAAAATACTGTGAACCGGTACCTCCAACTGATTTACATTTTTCCACATCCAGTCAGTAAAAAGTAATGATTGGTCTAATAATCTGGTATTTAAAGTAGGAATTGCTCCAGACAAATAAATTATTACAACCAAACCAAATTACTGGCACCACTGCTGCCATCTAGTGTGCAGCCACAGAACACTCACACTGACAATGTGTGGATAGGTTTATTTCTTTTTTTGGATTATGTAGAAATTATGTCATGTTAGATTGTATAAACATAACAAAGGAGATGCAAAGAATTCCATGTACATGGTTAATCAGGATTTGTCTTTATTTTCATATACAAAAAGATGGATGTATTCTCGTCTAGTTTATATTTCTAAGCATTTCAACTCACAGATAAAGTTACCATTCATACTGTTTTAGTGAAACCAACCAACATACCTCATACACACACACGCTCGCACGCACACACACACAGAGTTCACATAAACAGGGAAGGTCACACAATTCAGTCAAACGTCCATTCATACTACAAGTAATGAACAATATGCTGACTGTAAATAAAATTTAAAAAAAAAAAAAAAAAAAAGGATTTTGCTTTCACAGGATCCACACATGAAACGGAAGAAACCCTTTACATTTGTCAAGTAAATATATACACAATATTTGATACGTTTTTTTTTTCCTTTTTTTTTTTTTTTGTTGAAGATGAGACTGACTCCATGTTAGTGTTACTAACGAGGTCCTGCATGAGGTAAGTGGTTTTTCTGTTCAGAAGAGCTGGGTGTAAGACAGCATTTTGAGGTAACAACCAATCACGACAGATTTTCCTACGTGACAATTGTTTTTCTGGCACAATTCGTGAAAGCACCTGGGGGGGGGGCGTTCAGCTCACACACAAAAGTTCAACCTACAGCATTTTTTCTATCAGGAGACTTTTAACATGTGTCCTCACCATCAGAACATGATCCAGGTGTGATGAGATGTACTTTATTGATCTGCAGAAGAAAACTGCAAAGTCACAGCTGAGTTGAATGACTTAAACTATGATATTCAAATGACTATTGCTGTATAATTAATATTGCTGGACCCTTGGATCATGCACATGCCACTGTTTTCATGAATCCTAATGGTGCTGCATCATCAATCACGTGGTTACAGAGATGATGATTTAAACACTGAAAACAATGTCCTGTATTGATTGATTTTTTTTTTTGTTATTTTTTTTTCAAATGTCCTTTACTAAAACTGCACATCAGCAAGCGTTACAGACCACTGTTAAAAATCACCATCTTTCCACAGCACTAATCAAAGCAAAACAGAAGAGCCTGTGTGTTGTCCAACGTGGCTAAACTATCACTAAAACAGGTCTGACCATCACATCAGCAGGTTAATATTGAGGCAATACTGTTCAAACAGGTATTTCAAACAAGTGGCCAATCACAGAAGCTGCCCAGCACCAAACCATATGAAACTTCTGTTAGGGTTTTTTGTTTGTTTGTTCTTGATGATATACACACTAAGCATTTTAATTCAAGTGCTACCCACACAGCTTCTGATTCAGAGGAACTGATGCCATTATTTACTGAAATCAGTAACACAACCACCTTACTTAAAAAAAAAAAAAAGAAAAGAAAAAAGAAAGAAACAATCATAGGGCTAGATTTCAAAATGACCAAAATATGTAGATGTGGAACTAAGAAATCCCTTTGTGTCTGTCAATTGAGAAGCATAATGCCCTGATTTGCTTAAAAAAAAAAAGAAAAAAAAAAGATCAGTGTTCGGCAACTGTGTGTACACGCATATTTACAAGAATCTGCCTATCTTCTTTTAGGTTTGTAGAGCATTAACACCATGAAAACTAGTCAGGCCCTATTAAAAAAATCTCCACAGACAAGAGGCCCAACCAGCAATAAAATATCTCAACTACTAAAACACAATAAAAATACATAACACAACTTGATATACATGTAGAAAAAGCCTGAGGTACTTTTCAGAATATCTGAGGTCAGTCTGGAGGAGTAAGCAGCTGAGGGCTTACTCAGTCAAAGAAACACAAAAACAGAATATTAGCCTCATATAATATCGTGGATAGTTATCACATGTTAGCGTTATATTACCAAAGAATACATGTACATCTACAAATCCTTGAGTATCCTGGAATAGTCACAGCAGCATAACGGACATTCAATGTATGGTATTCATGTTATGGTACAACTATGGCATTGCATTTGGGACAAAGGCAACAATTTGAGCTCTCCTTGCATGACATACAGTGACTGAGGTATCTGGGGACTGGTGTCCAACTGAGTCTATTGAACAAACACCCAAGGAAATTAAAAACAGACATGTTGCTTACTCAAGTATGGCCCTCGCAAGGATAAACCCCCAACTACCTGTCCATGGTTCTTACTTTAAAAACATGCTCTCTATCCATCGCACGTCATTTACTCTTTAAATTCTCACACACACACACACATTCACACAGACAGTTAAAATTAAGAATGTGTAACATTGCAACTCCAGACAGCATCTGTCAATGCCCCTGGCACTGGCAAAGGCGTAACTCTGTATTTCAACAATTTGAAAAAATAAAAGAAAAAAAAAAAAGAAAAAGAAAAAAAAAATCCAGGAATATGTTCATGATAGCTAGCTGGATAGCTTGGCTCTCAACTTAGAGAAAATGTTCCAAAGAAGCCTACTGGATACCTGAGAGGTAGTTCCCCGAGGACAAGACGCTTGTCCCAAATCTTCAAAAAGTCCAAAATGTCCAAAACAACTGCTCAGCTCCCATTCAGCTCCCTCACTTACGATAAAACAGCTGTGCTCCCATGTTTTTGATCTTTTTTTTTTTCGTTCTGAGGAATTCACAGGTTTAAAATAAGAGAGCACACTCCGAGTTTAAAAATCGAGAAGCTTCGACCCCTGAGGAAGATGTATATATTTTGTCTAACAGTCTCAAAACAGTTCCTCCGAGGTGTGCAGCACGTCGTCTGAGGTTTGGAGCAAAGGTTCATTTCATTTGGCCGCAGACGATCATGACCACGACAGGAAAAACAACAAAGATGACAACTCATGAGGTAATAAAATAGACCAACACAAAAGAAATACATGAGGTAATGACAACATTTAAGATTTGACACATGGGTGTTATCAGATGTGCCCATCGCATAGCTTATTACTACTTCAACTACAGCAGATGGATGTGTTAGTAAGGTCTGACTTTAAACACAGAAAAAACATTTAACAGAAAAAAAAAAAAATACCAGTATGGGATAAAATAGCAGCTGCATTTAAGTTGCTAGTTGTTTTTTTATGCGTTTAAATATTCACAGAGATCCGCTGAGTTTGGATTTGAAAAATAAAAGTCAGGAGCTCAGGTGAAGGATGGTGTCACCAGTTCAGGTGCTGGACTCTTTGGGAGGTAGGTCCTCGTTGATGAGAGACGTCACAATGGAGACGGGGCTGTCTGAGGTAGTGCTGCCTATCGTCCTGGTGATCTGGCTGATACGCTCCTCGACGCAGCCTGCCGACAGTCGTGCCTCTGCGTCATGGTCCCAGCATTCCTCGATGGTCTCGCACATCTGGCTTAGACCCTGCAGACATAAACCACAAGTTAAAGAAGTATAGATTTTCTTATTTTTATTAGGAGGCAAATCTTTTGGTCATCATTTTCAGTGATTTCGAGGTGACACAAATCTCTTAGTTTATCAGTGGCTTGATACTCAACATTACATGCTAACCAAGTTCCAGTAATAACAAAAACAAAACTGATTCTGAGAACTATGACCTCAACTGATCAAGCTTAATTCACTGGAAAAAAGGATGCACAACATCCTGGTATTGCTATTGAATTTGCAGTAGCTATTCTTCCACCGTTACTCACAGGATGTTTGAGCCAGAGGTCCTTGATGACTGGACGCATCTTCTTGTGCACAACCACATCCTGTAGATCCTCCAGGGAGGGATGCTGGCCTATTTCATCCTCAAATGGCAGCATGTACTCACCAACTGTAACTGAAGAGGGACAAAAGAGTTGCACAAAAAGCAAGTCAGGTAAACAGTGAAGTATTTTCATTTTGAAAAGATACAGCAAAATCCAAATGAGTGTATTGTACTTAAAGATGAATTGTATCAACTTAACCCAGGATCAAACTGCTTTTGCAGACCAAAAGAAAGCTAATCCTTTGTTAATTAGGCCAGCCTGAAGCAAAGTGACCTTTCACCTGTGGGTGAAGCAGCATTCCTGCACTGTTTGACTCACCGTCTGTGTCTGAGCAGCGGGACACCAGCTCCCACAGCACCAAGCCCATAGCATACATGTCTATCCTCAGGAAGGAGTCTCGCTGAAAGTTGATGGCTCCCTCCAGCACCTCTGGAGCCATGTAACGCCTCGTACCCACCTGGACGGATAATGGATTCAAGTTCATGTGAGTGCGTGCAAGATAGCAATGGGGGGAGGGTACTACTGCCTTTAAAGCCATATGGATATGCATGGGTGTGTTTTACAAACAGCCCAACAATGCTACTCAGTAAAAATTAATGTGGTTTTCCACTCACGTTCTGCTGGTAACTCAACAGTTAATGTACATAACGATATGTTGTAGCAAAGAAAAACTATGCTTTAATATCAAACAACATCAATATTAGCTTGCTCTACTTAGAGCTGCAGTCCCCGAGCTAATCTGAGTTACCCTTCTGCCTTGTATAAGGATGGATCACACCGCATTATTCTGAGGTCTTAATGTAAAAATCACAGATTCTATATCAAAGGTCTCTTTATTATCCAAATACATTTTATACAAATAGAAAACAGTAACTGTCTGCATAAATTGTGACCTATTTCAAGTCAATTTTTAGAGAGTGTGTTTTTGAACAATGCCAAGCCTATGGGTCGGTATTAAAGAAATTTAAGTGACAGCTGCAAACACCTGCATCACAGAGCCAGCGCAGACATTGAAACAACATTATAAAGTTATTTCCTACCTGGCCATGTGTATCTCCAGGAGGTTTTCCTGGTTCAAATCGTACAGCGAGCCCAAAGTCTCCAATGACTGCACTTAAATCATCTCGTAGCATCACATTCTTACTCTTGAAGTCCCTGGGGAATGAATTTCACAATTATAGAGATGTTTAGTCACACAAATTAGCCCACAGGCTTACAGGGTAAAACTACTAAATTAAGCACACCTAAAGGGAGTTAGCACTAATTTAAGTTTGATTTAAAATCAAAAGTAACCATCAGGTTTTCCTAAGGACAAAGCTTGGGAAATCCAGGAATGGTTTGTGCTTTTCCTACCTGTGCGCAATAGTGGGTTTGGGCCCTTCTCCCTTGTAGCTGGGAATGTCTTCATGGAGGTAGGCCAAGCCGCGGGACATGGTCTCTGCTATGTGACACAGCTCAGTCCAGGTCACAGTGTTACCCTTCAGGTGGTCTGTCAATGAGCCCTGCTCACACACAACAGATTAACAAACAAGGATTAACATCTGCACAAGAGTCAAATTTTTAATCCATTCCTCAGATGCTCTTCTGTTAGTCAACATCTAAGAGTGAGCCAACCATAACCAAAGAACTGTTGCTGGATCCACCATGGGGCAGGGCCAGATTTCACCTTCATTTTTCAGCCAAATGGTGTTTTAATAGCCTTGATAATTTACTAGTATAATCACAGTCCAAATACATACATTATAGCCCAAAATATCAAAAATACACACAGAAACATTGACCTAAAAAGAGATTATGCGTGCACTAATCGCACTGAGGCAACTGTAACTAAACACATTTGTATCACAACCAAGAATAAAAAGGTGCTATGAGGACAAGCCTTGAAAGTCACCACACAAACAGAATACCACATTTGTGGTTATGGCACTTGCTGCTTAATCCTGTGATTAATAAGCAGGATGTTCAGGTCGCTTAAAGGCATTTCATCGTTGCAGTATTATCTGAGGCAAACACACAATAATACCTTGTAGTTTTTGACATCAAATGCAAACTGAATTATTTTTACACCACATGCTTAAAACACAATTGTATAACTCAAAGCAGCCCAGTTCTACTGCTTTTAGATGTACTGGGAACTGCAAATCAGACGTATGTGATAAAATCCATTTTTTAATAAAAGCTGTAGTGCCCTTTTTTTGAGGTAAATAAAGGGCTCAGCCAATATTGGAAAATGTCCAGCAGTTCTGGTCAATATATAGAAGCCCTATATCTCAATATAAATTTGCTCTGTGGTGGTGTGTGTGGGTCTGCGTATATACTGTATACGGGTAGCTGCATTCTCACCCTCTCATGAAACTCAGTGATGAGCCACAGCTCTGTTTCCAAGTTGGTTCCGTGCTTCTCTGCAGCAAGGTAACGCAAGATGTTTTCATGTCTCATTCCTGGGGTCAAGAATATGTCCCGCTCATTTTGCCATGACTGCTTATCCTGTAAACACAAAGAGTTATGTTTAGGCATTTGTGATTTTAATGTATATATGCACCCTTGGAAAACAGTGAGGTCGATTCTTAAATGTTACACAAGGAGTCTGGAAACACTCTCACAACACCTGGGAGTGTTAGTCAACAACCCTGGGTTTTTTCACAGTTTGAAGCATACATATTTTTAGAAAATCAAATAAGAGAAAACTGCACATGTGCCTGTATTCAGTGTTGCTGAATTACCTGAACAGGGAAGATCTTTACAGCAACATATTCGCTCATTAACTGGGCCTTCCATACACAACCAAAGCGCCCCCTGGCTTTGATTTCCAGCAGCTGCAGTGGTTTTAGACCCACCAAAGGGGATGGAGGAGCTGGTCCAGGATCCTGAACAGCAAAGAGTAGAAAAAAACTGTTATTAATCTACTACTAAAGATATACCATTGTTTACTAAATACAAAAGTGACCAGCACTACACTGTTACTGCTCAGATGACCGATTTAAATGAGAGTCAGAGCTGAGTATGGTCTCTCTCACCTCAATCAGGTCTACGTGGCCATAGGGAGGTTTGCGGTGGCGGTACATCCACAAGGCCAGAACGAGGGCCAGAGACAGAACGCAGAGTGGCAGCAGGGAGTACACCAGCACGTTGAGCAGGGACGGCACTCGGGGTGGAGGCCGAATTTTCACTGTCAAGGTGGAACAGAATAATTACAGCACGTCAGCTTTCTGACCCCTGGGGTTAGACTCTATCTAGGTTGCTGAACCTTGATCCTTGACTGACAAATGAGTGATTACAGCGTCTCAATGAATGTAGCAAACAGGCAAGGGTTAAAATTATTGAATTTTCATCAATATCACATGCATACTTGTCAATAACCCTCAACGTGAGCTTCTGGTCTCCATCATTGAAACCCTTGATTTTTTTGTATCTTCAGAAATAAACAGAAATGTATGAAATTCATATCATTTTTAGTAACTTAATCCAGTGTAACAAGAAATATAATTTTTATCTTACATGGAGTCACTTCAGAAAAGAAATAAAAATATGACCTAGACAGTAATAAAGGCACACTTCCTTAAAATGTATATTATGTATTCCTAATATGCTTCATATCTTTGAATATAAAAAAAAATCTGCATTGCCAAAAATGCCTGCCCACACAACATTTTCCCTGAAGAACTGGAGTTTATCTCTCTAGTTTTTTACAAAGATCAGTCGTGCTTTTTTATGTCTTTTTTTTTTCAGCAATACGGTCCTCCTTGGCTTTCCCCCACAAACCCTTTCTTGGTTTAGTGTGTGGTGTATGTTATGCATTCTAACCATGACTCTAGGTTGTTCCAGGTCAGCCTTAAGCTCTTTGGATGTTTTACATGGCATCTTTTCCACAGTTCACACCAACCTCTGAAGACTTCTTACACAGATTTTTCTCTCCCCCAACATCCAGGGAGGTTCCTTACCATTACATGTATAGCAAGCTTCACAATAATTATTTTTCAGACTGATTTGAAGGATTCCAAAACCAGTGTCACAGCAGTTTCTTGGTAACAAAAGCTGCTGTTTTTAAAAAATTCTCATTTTTTCATTATTTGTTGTTCTGTACAAAACATGTGTGATTATGGACCAAAGCTGTTTCACTAGAGATACTCTAGGTAATGCACTTAAATTTTGTGAGTGCCAATAATGGTGTCAAGCACGCATTTTAACATTCATTAAACAGCTAATTGCAAAATCAGCCGAATTCACTAGCACCTCCTTTATGCAGTCATTTGTTAATGGTAATACAACAGTTTCAGTCTCATATTTAATGACTGACCTACACACCAAGCTAACAAGGAATTAAAAAAATAAAACAGAACAACACAATATTAAGCATCAACATTTAAATTCAAAGGCTGTGTAATGGAGTTCATATTAGTACCACACTCATGATGTTTTACCTACACATGCACAGCACAGCTCCACTCCCACTATTCAAAGGGGAAAAGCATGTTTTGCTTGTACTATATATAGGATGTATTTGCCACTCACCTCGGTTGCCACTGCCAATCATGTCAGGAAGGTGGGTGAATCGTTCATTGCAGTAGTTGCCCTCGCAGCAGCAGAAGAAGACCTGAGGGTTTTCCTCCATGGAGACACACTCTTGCCTAAAACAATGTATGACACACCCACATTGTTGTTCTGATAATAGAATGCCCAAACCAGTTTACAAAAAAGATCCTTTTTTTTTCAAAACACATTTTTTTGCTTTTTGTGATCTACAGTCCACCAACCAAGTAGGTAAGTGTCTGCTTGTTGTCCTTTAGCTGCTGTACATAAAGCCTTTAAGGTCAAACTAATATTTGTCCAATTTATTGTCTAGACTCTCTAACCCATGCATGCCCTGTCTTTGGATGATGGTATACTGGTATTGGTGTCACTGTATGAGCTGATATAGACTGCATGTTCAAGAGTACTTTGTAGCTTGGTTGACAAAATCTATTTTTTACTAACAATATTTCATCTTATCAAGTCAGTACATGTTTTAAATTCAGAGGATTCACAGGATTTCTCACCGTATGTGCAGTTACAGCTGCAGATACCAACATTAATCAACATGACTTTGTGCGTCAAGCAACTCTAAATTTCCCACCTGCTCCGAAGTTCTTCATTTGCTACAACTATTTTATGGAGCTTTTCGCTGAGATTAAATTGACCAGCAACAAATGTATTTTCCCAGGTTCCATTATATTCCCTCTATGGCTGCAATTCCACCCAACAGCTCAGGCTGAAGTAATTACTTTTGAACATGTCAACACCTTTGAGGCTGCACCTGAACCTTCTAGTTGTATACACTTTAGTGAAGCTTTCTAAAAACCCAGTTTCCGTTGAAAGCAGTCACATAGTAATAATTCTACAATTTCCACACTTTAACTTGCAACAACTACACATCAATACCACAACTAGCTATAAATAAAATATTAGAAAGGCACCTTAACCATTACAAAACAGACATTTTATGCACACAAAGATGTGCAATCCAAGATAGATTATTAAGGTTCTCTTTAATGCAGCTTCCCTTCACGAGCCACTAGAGGTCTACAGCTTGTTCAAAATGCTGTGGCTAGAATATTAACAACTGGAAAGTTTGATTGTGCCACACAACCTTACACTGACTGCTGATAAAGGCTACTTTAAAATTCTTCTCCTGACTTACAAAATCCTGAGTGACCTGGTGCCGCCATGTCTATCTGCAATCATCAGGCTGTGGACAGTGAGCTGTACTCTGTACTGGTGATGCAGGCGATCTGGCTACTTGCAGAAACAATAATTAGGAACTACCACAACACAAATCCCTACTTTTGGAGGTAAACATTTACTGCTATCACCTTCCTGACATATACTGTATATTTTCAGTTGCTAAACCAAATACCCTGTGGTTTTGACCACTGGCCAAACAAAAAAAGCTGACTGAAAGTTGAATAAGCATTTCTGATTATATCATGGCCTCTGAGAGCTTCATGTACCAAGTAGTCTGCATACGATCTCAGTGGACATGTGTATGATTGCTTGCCAACTCATGTAATATATGTTGAGACTGATATTGGAGATGAAGCCCAACAATATCTTTAAATAAAGAATATGAAAATGTGCAACAATTAATCTGGTAAAATATCCTACATCTCTTTACTTTGTGTCATATTTTTGGAAAAACTTGGTTGATTTAAAGGTCTGCAGTCGAGGATTTACCAGACTCATTGATCTAATGATTAATTCAAAACATGCCCTTTAAACATTTCCAGAGTATTAGATGATATCTTAAAAATGCATGTTTTATAAAACCACACGGTTAAAGCTAAAAGACATTCATAGATTTGTGTTGTGGAAAGAAGAAAAGCAGCTTATTTTTACATTTGAGAAGCTACAATCAGCAAATTCTTGTCATATTTTCCATCGAATGGCTAATTGACAAATTACTTCAGCATCAGATCTTTGATCGCTGTCCTTGAAAATGTGAGACAAGAAAAAAAAAAAAAAAGAGGATGTGTTGAACTACATGTGGGTATGTGGCAGATATTTCTGTTGTCCTCAGTGCCAGTCCCTCTGGGTACGGGCCAGATACATACAATATAAATGTAAATGCAGGGTGGTGATGCCCTCGCTCAGTGACCAGACCTGTCATAGCAGTTGAAGTCGTCCAGCCAGCAGCCTTTCTTCACTAGCTTGATGGTCCCTGAGGAGTTGAGCCAGGAGGCATAACAGTGCAGTCGCTTGTCTTTCTCCCCCTCGCAGCGCTCGAAGCCACTCTGGTTGGTCCTCTCCGTACGCCAGTTATCATTGTAGTACACACACTCCCGGGTCTCTGCTTCGCCAAGACTGTACCCTGAGACGGACAGAAGGCCTCAGTCAGCTCACATGGTAATGAATTGAAACTCAACAGCGGAAGCGCAGACATATGGCGTAGGATCCGTTCTGTGCCATGAAGAAACATCTCTGAGCAGAACCTCTATCATCACTCTGGCACATAGCCAAGTTTGGGAGCTCTCTGTAGTGAAAAGGGAGTTCCTCTGGCTAAGAAATTGTTACTGAACACTAGTTCAGCATAATCATATTAATTAAAAGATCTTTTCACAGAGTATAAAGCAAAAAAGAAGGGAAAAATTACAGAATGTAATCGGCTATAAAACAATGATATACCCTGCTGTAGTAAAGAAACAGAATGCACACACCGGTATGGACCTTCTATAGATAGGCACTCCTGCATCTATAGTGAGACACATCTGGAAAGACAGATAAGACCCTTTTCTTTTAAGGCTTTTAATGGGAAACACTTTGTCTAACTAAGCTGAAATGTAACAATAGCTGTCAATCTCTGTGTGCTGTATTCTTTTAATGTTTCATTATTTCTTTAATTGGATTTAATGCTAGACACCGTCGGTGCACAGAACACATATCTGTGACGAACACTAAAGTAGATAACATGCTGTGCAGGTCATTCACAATATGGTTTGGACATTCATGTCTAATCTTTGTTCACAGAGAAAAATAGAGCCTGTCTCTTTAAATCCCTGCCTATAGGAGCCTGCCCATCCCCCAGTGTTACCCCCACCAACCCATCTTTCTCTCTCTCACACTCACACTCACACACATACACACACACACACACACACTTAGATACATTTAGCTGTCCAGCACCGTACAATGGACTTCATTATAGGATACTGGGATGCATGCAATGACCAAACATCATGCTCATAATAAAGGGAGGGAGAAAGAAAGGTAGTAAGAATTAAATATATACACACACACACACACACACACACACACACACACAGCAGTGATGCTCAATGCTCCATTGAGCCGAGATGGCATTTCTGATATCTGTGGTCACATGATCCGGGAGGACTTTTACTACAAGATCATTCCCCAACCCCCCTCCCTCTGTCACTTACTGAGCCTTTACACCACAACAACATGAATTCTGGAGAAGCAGCTTACTGTACACTCCGAGCCCTAATCTATAAACCATAAAGGCATTAGCCATAGCGCTATTTAGCACACAGGAGACAGCTGTGCCTCAATGAAATTTTTATTGCAGTTCGTGACAAAAAAATAATAAAAAAAAATAGCCAAAGTGGATATTACTGTTTTGTTTTCTTTTTTTAAAAAAATGTCTATTCAGTCACAGTAGAGAGCCGCTAGGAGAGAAGTGGATTACTATGTCTGGGCCAACATACATATCCCATTTGGGTTGCAAACGCTGGCACACACAAAAAAAAAGCCAAACAAAAGAATAACAACCCTCATGCTCAATTTCACGTGGTACCAAGGCATTGGAAACTGAGCTGTGTGTAACAGTAACCTCAATTCACGTTAAAGACCTGACTTCAGACAACAGCTGCTGTCTCTTCCAATCAAACTCCATTGATTTATTTGAAAAAAAAAAAAAACCTTCCACGGCAAGTGTCTATCCAAAGGTTCTTGTTGAGGCTGTTACCACAAACAGGACTGTAGATGTTAGCCTCTAAGGTTTCAGGATGTTGATGCAGCTGCTGCCTTCTATTCCTGCCACTGTTGATGAAGGCAAGGGGACGCAACAGTTATAAATATGGATACTGATTTTTTATTTATTTTTTATTATTTTTCTGTCGCGTAAAAATACTACATAATGTATTGCTTTGCTTTTATTTAAGGGGGAAAAAATTAGCTAGTTGTTAAATAATTCTCAAGTGTAGAAATATTTGTCATTACGGAGCCAAACAGAGAAACGGCGATAATGGTTGGGAGAATAAAAGCCCAGGCGGACCACAGTAGCCGTGCACCACCAACAAAGTTTAAACAACTAGCAAACGAGAAGTCGGTTTTAAAGGCAGCAAATACACACAGAAATGTGACCGCCTCCGGACGAAGCACTCGACAAAAAAAAAACTGTTGCAAATACCAACAAGAAGCGGAGGCTTACCTGCGCACAAAGTTCCCAGAAGAAGTGAACAAGTCAGCCATGAAAAAGACATGTTCCGTTTTAAATACAGGACAGAGATTTCCCCCGCTTTCCGTCGCGAACATTAAAACTCAGGTTGTCCGAAACATCAGTCCAGGATCAAAACGACCACAGGCCTCCGGTCCCTCCAGCAGCCTAACCACCACCACAACGTGTGTCAATAGCCGCGACGCTGCAACAATGTTGCAAGAAAAGATAGGAGCGATTAATTGACTGCCGGGCTCTTACTCCAATAATATGTGCAGCATGTCGAAGTGGATCCAAAAACGGAATGTGAAGCCGTTACACCGTCCGAGACGAAAGCTCAGCGCTCTTTTTTTTTTTAAGGTTATTCACTTGAATAGTAGCACCGCTGCGTCGGGAGGTCGGTCGGGGTTTACATGCATGTTACTGATCTGTGTCCAAAATGGCTTCTAAATGGGGAATGGGCTGCAAACAGGGAAACCCGGATGTGTAAACACAAAGAGGGGAATTCAGGCAGCCAGCGAGTGACCTTAACACGACACCGCAGATACACGCCTGAAATGACTTTATTCCAGCCTCATGTCGACAATTAGTGCATTTTACGCACACAGCAGACGAAATAAAGAGCAGTGGAGAAGGTTGAGGTTTTTCCACGCGGGTATTTGTCCCGACTCCAAGCGACAGTCTCTAACACTTGCACTTTCTGTGGTCAGGGTTAGGATATTATGGTCTAGCCTACTTTTCGTTTCTTATTATTTAGCCTCGGGTTTAAATGAGATTTTTTTTACTTATAGAATGCAATAGCCCGTGTTTGCCTTTTAAAATAATATAATTACGTAGTGCTGATAAATGATATTTTAACCGCGATCGAGCAGCTAAAGCCTGTCAGTTTAAACCGATGTGGGCACGTTCGACATGCAGCATATATTTTAATGTACCGATAGAAAGGCTGCTTCAGTTCATACTCATAAATGCATTAGCTCGCGTTTGTCTTTATTTAATATGCCACAGCATTTTCGTCTATTCCAATGTGACAAATACTCCTTTTGTAGCCTCATAAGTAGTAGGATAAATTATGAGGATTTTTTTTTTAACTGAATGATCTTTTATGCATAAGTGGCAGTGCTAAAAATAGCTGACCTAATTTGGCGTTACACGATACAATAAATGCAGTTTAAAATGTATTCGTTCTAATTGCTCATTTCACCACCACACTGTGTTAAGCATTAAATATGTCCACCACAAAACAACTCAACGCCAAATTATGGCGTTTATGATGCATCACTAAGAGTTTTATTCTTATCACAAAACAGGAAGTGTGTGTGACATTATTCTTCCTAACATGTTTTCTAACACAGCATTCTTTTACAAGTCTGTGGTATATTTTATTGATGATCTGTGGCATTACTTCCAACAATGTTGTGTTTTCTGGTGAGCCTGCCCGCTCATTAGGTCTCCTAGACACAATACAGACACTTTTAGAAGTACTTCCCTTAGAAAAGTTAAGGTTCTCTTTTCCTCAGACTAATTGGTTCTCTTTTATAAGAAGAAATGCCTCCATTAGTACCTGTACAATGACAGAATAGTCCCTTGTTAATGAAACAAGTAATAAAATAATACATCACGTTGTTTGCTTCCCAGAATTTAAGACACACTTTTTTTTTTCTCCAAAATTGTACACAATAATAAACTCCATCATCACCAAAAATCAACAATGACATTGTTAAAGTTCCATTAAGCTTTCTAACAGGTCGCCCTTTCTTTCTCTGACAACCAGACTAATGGTATGTTGGTGACACTCAGCCAATTCATGCAGCAAATGGCCGAGGAATAGGGTTAGCTGCAGGTAATCGGCCTTAAACTAGTGCCGTTGAGTGTAACTCAAGACAAAGCATTTCCTCATTAAGCTATCCTGTATTGACCCTGTAACTCAATAGAGGCCATGAGCGAAACCTTGTAAAGATAGATGTTCTGTTGTCATGACAGTTGGAAGAGAAAGCACATGAGTGGTCATTAAAGGTCCACCAGCCACAACCACGGTGTGACATTCCTCGAAGAGAAGGTGGGAGGTGATGCAGTGGCACATGGAAAGCACAAATCTATGAGCTCATAGTGTTCCAAAACCCTGTTCAATATAACTTATACCAGCGTGTTGCCCCTTGTGCTGTATTGTACAGCCTATAGAATACATCGACATTGTTATGTGGGTTATAATATAAAGACTGGATAGAAATTTGGATGTATTTAGGTTAAAAATGTATGTTTCTGTTATTGTACTGTCTTTCTGCATATCCAAAACATACAAAGCATGTCTTAAATATTTTTCATGTGCTTGTGTGTTTCTGTCAAAAAGTCCCTATTGTGATCACTGTGACAAGCTTGAGGTGAGCATCAGTACCTACCAGTAAAGCAGATAAATGACACTAGGTGGTAGCAGAGCTCCCCGGGGCAAGTGGAGCTCCTTAGTTGAGCTGTGCAATATCTCTCCTTCAGTCTTGATGTATATACCGTATTTGTTAGGAGGGAACACAATTGTATTGTTTACTGCTGACTGCCAAACATTGACTTGGATGGATGTCAAAACACTAGATCTTTTATTGGAGCAGGTTTTCTTTTTTATTTGGTTGATTGTGAACACTATTTAATAGCTGTATATCTATTAATCTGTGGTATTTAGAATATCTCATGAAACTTGATCATGGATTCATTAGTATGAGGAACAGTGCAGCACTTAAGGATTTTGTAGTTATGGCATCTGATAGAAAGCAATTACATAAACCATAGCCTGTAGCTAATTCTATGTGAGGGTTAAGTTAAGACTTGCACACAGAGTGAGCACAAAAGGAAGAAAAAATAAATAAATGGAAATAAGATTGAGGATCATAAGATCACTAGTTTATTTCAGCCTTTGAATAATTCGGTACAAAAATAAAACAACAAGCAACATTTTCTTCATCTTTTATTATTCTACAGCCACACAGACCCAGTGTAAGATGACTTGACAGTGTGGAGTGCTTTTCCTCTGTGGTTGAGCTTTTTCCTGCAGTCATATTGGCAGTTATAGTGAGGTGCTTTTAAAAGTAGTTTGCCACTCTGCGGACAGACTGGATGTTAGGGTTCTCCGCCTGCCACTCCATGTGGGTGCAGTAGTTTCCTCTCTCCACGATGTACATGCGGCCGCGGTAGTTAGGCTCCTCATACAACACCCAGCTGTTTGGAGAGTAAAACAAATGCATTTGAAAATGTAACTTTTAATTTAAATCATCAACATCAGGTCAAAGCTGGGTCATTCTCAGACAATATTCTGTCTGAATTGACGTATACAATGTTGGTTGTTATGTCTGTACGTTTTAGGACACCCAGCTTTGAAATATTTTTTATAATTGTAATAAATTGCTGGGAATTTCAGCAAAATATTGATAGTAGAGAGATGGCAGGCAATGGTGTAAACTGTTTTTACCAGAATTACTTTCTATCAACAAAATATTTGCTATTAAAACTGCTGACAGTGTGTTTAACAGTCCAAGTCTGGCTAGACTTCCCTTGCATGTAACCCTTCATCTTTCTCTTCACACTTCCTGTCTGTTTTCTGCTCCCAGTAAATGACAATTATGTCTCAGAGCAGTGAGAACCTCAGAAAATATTCATTTGTCCACACAGCTGGTTATGTCACATCTTTGACAAGCATGTTTCATTGCAACAAAAGGAAAGAGAGAAAATTAGCTTTTTGGGATTTCAGTGAACCGACGCTGTAACAGCTTAGACACGATCATACAAATTTCACAAAAGTGCAATCCATCACTGAACCAAAATATTTTAGCACATGCTGGAAAGACTTATGTGCTCACATCAAACACTATCTAAGGCCACATAGATACATACGCTCCATCTCCATAAACCCTGAGGGAGTTGATGCAGTTCTTGGTCAGGCCTTGTGCTTGCAGAAATGGACAGTCGTCGCACAGCTCCACACACTGGCCGGAGAAGTTGTCTCCCTCGAACAGTTCCATCCTGTAGTGCTCTCCGTGCTGGGGAGGATAATGACATTCACACTCGCTGAGTCATAGCAACAATGTTCAACTTCACCTCTGTGCAAACGACCAAGGCTTTCTCCTTTATGTGACTGAGGCTGCATTGTGTGTGCAAACACTTACACCTATAGAAATGTAAAGGCTAAATGTATGTGGAGGAGGATATGTATAGACTGCAGCCGGTGTCTGAAAAGTAGTAATGCAGTGAATTTCTTTCAGCTGATGTTATAAGTATGTAAAGTACTAAAATGTATTCTGACTTTGATTTGTGTGTCAAACAGATGTTCACAAATAACGTCACACATATGCCAGTCCGACAAGCTTTTTTTCTTTTCTTTTTTCTTTTTTTTACCAACCAAATATTTGTCTGTCCCTGGGGTCTCTCTCTCTCTCTCTCTCTCTCACACACACACACACACACACACACAGACTTACCATCCTGATTGGTTTGCAGGAGCCCATGTGATCATTATGGGCATTCCAACGCTGGAATTCAGGGTACTCTCCATGTTCCAGAATGTACTGTTGGCCCTTGAAGTCTGGGTGGTCGAAGCAGACGAAGGCCCCACTCTCCACACGGACAGAGTTAACCCTGTTCATGAAGCCTCGGTCTTGAAAGTTATCGCAGTTGCTGCAGATCTCCAGCTTCCTCCCAGTGAAACATTTTCCCTCATAGAACACAATCTGTTTTCACCACACAAAATATTTTATTTATACACTGGAAACTGATGCCAAAAAGTTTTTCTTTTTCTCCTCTGGCAAACAGACAGCAAGAAAGAATCTAGAGTTTGTATAAAAGAAGTAAGAAGGAAACATAACAGACATCTGAGGTTGGACACGGCATTAAGATTAATGTCTGTGGGATTTGCTGTTTTTTTGTGAAGCCTGCATAGGTTTAGGTCTACTGTGGCTGCATTCTTGTTGTGGTACTCACCTTTCCTGAGTACTGAGACATTTTCCACTGATAGCTGTTCCAAACTACTCACACAGTATAAGAGTGGAAAAATTTGCACTCCCAGATATATATGGCTGACACAGAGTGTGGCGGTATCGCGAGGCAGGGGCAACAAAAGCGCAACAATGAGGGGTTTAGACATTTTGCCACATGGACAGTTTCCCTTACATGTGCCAGTGCTGATATCGGAGTTTGGCTCAGGAGGGTGAAACAATAGAGTGAGAGAGATTTTGCTTTGATTGGGCTTTGAGAGTGATGTTGCACTGGGTTGGGGGTTGCAGAGTAATATTTGGGTTGTGTCCAGATGAGGGAAGATGAGGAGGAAAACAAACACTGCGAGGACAAGTTAAAGGAGAGCAGAAAGGGCAACAATGAGGTGTGGTC